ACGTATAACAATAATATAATGAAGTTGTTGTCGAACTTCTTGATGTAGAAACAATGATCTACTTGGCATCTGGTAAAACCACTGCTACTCATAAACTATCGAACTTCTTGTACCACTGTCTTGGAGCTTGTTTTAAACAATACAAGCCCTTCTTCAACCTGCATACCAGGTTTTTCTTGTCTGCTTCTATGAAGCTTTCTGGCTGCCATATATAGATTTCTTCCTCCAAATCACCATGAAGGAAAGTTGTCTTCACATCTAACTGCTCAAGATGTAAATTCTCTGCAGCTACAATTTTTAACACCAGTCTGATTGTAGACATTTTTATAACTAGAGAGAAAATTTCATTGTAGTCAATACCTTCTTTTTGCTGAAAACCTTTGACAACCAATCTTGCTTTGTAGAGTTTGCTCCCATCGTGATCTTATATGATCCTGTAAATCTACTTGTTATGGAGCATTTTCTTGCCTGGTGGTAATTCAGTTAATTCTCACGTCTGATTTGACATAAGCGAGTTCATCTCATCTTTCATGGAAGACTCCCACTTGAATGAATCCTCCACCTGTATTGCTTCATCATAGCACTCTGGTTCACTATTGTCAGTCAACAAATTCCTTTTTTCAGCTTCGGTATTGGAGCTACTTGATTCTATGGTTGACCTGTCTTTGTACATCACATTCTCATTGAAAATGACATCTCTGCTTCTGATGATCTTCCGCTTTTCATACTCTCAAAACCGGTAACCGAACACATCACCACCATAACCAACAAAGACACATTTGTTGGGCTTGGCATCAAGTTTACTTCTTTCAGCAGAATTTATGTGTACATAAGAAATACAACCAAACACTCTTAAGTGTGAAAGGTTTATTTCTTTCTTGCTCCAAACTTCCTCTGGTATTCTGCCATCCAAAGGAACTGAGGACCCACGGTTAATCAGGTAAGTTACAGTGTTGATAGCTTCAGCCCATATCAATTTGGGCAATCTGGCATGTATCCTCATGCGTCTGGCACGTTCATTCATAGTTCTGTTCATGCGCTCTGCTACGCCATTCTACAGCGGTGTCATGGTAACTGTTGTCTCCATCTTGATCCCATTGTTTACGCAGAAATCTCTGAATCTACTATTTTTGTACTCTCCTCCATTGTCATACCTCAACCGCTTGACTTTTAAATCAGTCTCATTTTCCACCATGGCCTTCCATTTTCTGAAGGTGTCAAAGACTTCTGATTTTTTCTTCAGAAAATAAACCCACACCTTCCTTGTAGAATCATCGATGAAGGTGACATAATATAGTGAGCCCGCAAGAAATGGAACTGGAGATGGTCCCCATGCATCAGTATGAACCAACTCTAACTTTTTTGCCTTGAGTGTCTTGCCAATCTTTGCAAAAATGACTTTCTTTTGTTTTCCAAAGATGCAATCCTCACATAATCCGACATCTACATTCTTTAGATCCAGAAGCTTCCCTTTTGACAAAAGTGTATTCATCCCTTTCTCGCTCATATAGCCAAGCCTTTGGTGTCATAGGTTTGATTTTCCATCAGCATTTGCTACTGCAATGATATTCTCTAAATTTGAGGTTACATAGAGAGTATCAGTCTTCTTACCACGAGTAATGACGAGTGCTCTTTTGGTAATCTTCCATTCACAGCCTGAAAATGTTGTACTATATCATTCTCTATCAAGCTATCCTACAGAAATCAAATTTCTTTTGAGGCCAAGAATATGTCTCACTCTTGTCAGTTTCCAGGTGGTCTGGTTTGGCAACTTTAATCGGATGTCTCCTTTTCCGACGATCTTCAAGGTTTCATCATCAGCTAGATGAACTTTCCCAAAATCACCACTGACATAGTTCTCATGATTTCTTGGCTTGGGGTGGAGTTGAAAGATGCCCCTGAATCTAAGATCAATGATTCAATCGGACTGTTGACGCTTAAAATCATGGCATCACATGTCTCTTCTGTCATGTTGGCAGATTCCTGTGCGTCGATATCTTTCTTTAGTGCTCGACAATCTCTTTTAAAGTGATCATTCTTGACACAATTATAACAGGTAAAATCTTTCTTTCTCGTTCTTGATTTTTCACTTCTGGATTTCGATCTGCCACGATTTTAATTTCTTTATGAAGTTCTCCCTCTAGACTCCGTGTGCAAGGCTGAGGAGCTTGATGCTTCACCCGATTCTCTCCGTCGAATTTCTTCACTCAATATCAGATCCCGAACATCGTCGAATTTTAATTTTCTATTTCCCAATGAGCTGATGACTGCTGTAACAATAGCATTCCAACTGTCTGGTAGAGATGATAAGAGAATTAAAGCTCGAACTTCATAATTGAATTCAATTTCCACGGAACTCAACTGGGTTGTGATTGTGTTGAGTTCATTCAGGTGTTGAGCCATTAATGCCCCTTCCGCCATCCGCAAATTGAATAATCGCCTCATCAAGTGAACTTTGTTTGAGGCCGATGGCTTCTAATACATACTGGAGAGAGCCGCCATAAGACCCGCCGCAGTCTTTTCCTTTGCTATGTTGAAAGCAACATTGCGGGATAACGTCAGTCGGATAACTCTGAGGGCTTGACTGTCGAGAAGAGCCGAGTCTTCATTCTTCATGCCCTCTGGTTGCTTTCCTGAGAGAGGTTTATAATATATTTTTCTGGTACAAAAAATCATCAATCTGCATCTTCCAAAAGCCAAAGTCCGCACCATCGAACTTCTCAAATTTCACATTCCCTTCGTTTGCAGCCATCGCTCCCACTCGAATATGGCTTCTTTGGATTGTTTCTGACAATTTTTGCGAACCACCATGTATTATAACACCTCCATCGACAAACTCGTATCGCCAACAAAATTTTTACTATTCATGAAATTCACTATTCATGTGAATAGTAATGAATAGTAACATCACAAAAAATTGACAAAATTCACAATCAAAAGCTCTAATATCAGTTGTTGGGAAATAAATTGAGTACGAGTAATTTCCCTATAACCAGATTAGTGAGAATGCGAAATAAAAGCGGAAAAATAATACCCGAAATAGATAACGGAGTTCAGCAATTACGCCTATGTCTCCGGACTGCTGCAGATCTTTTATTAAAGAAAAAATTTACAGGTGTTTACAAAAACACTCATAACTCACAAGAGAACTCTCTAAACTCTTTAGTATTGAGAGGAAGAAATGATTTTGGGATGATTTTGAAGCTAAATGTGTAAGAGTATTTATAGTTGAAGCTTAAGGACTAATATTTGTAAATACCCTAAAGTCCAATGACTAAAAATAATTTTCCCATGCCAAAAATTCAGCAAAATTCATTCCCCAAATTTTTTTTCAAGCAGCCCATGAGCTGTTGAATTTTCAACAATATTCGAAACTCCAATTTATATTATTTCAATTTTATTTTTATAGTTTTATTATAAAAAATTCCATCCTTAAATTAATTATTTTATATTCCAGATACAATTATTATTTTTTCGAGTTTTATTATCAATAAAATATTGTATGTCATTCTTTTAATATATATATATATATACAGGTATGTATATGTATGTATTTCACCATAACGATTCTATCTAAATATATTTTTATTATTTGTTATAAATAAACGAGACAAAGCAATAATAGGAACAAGAAAAATAAGAGATATAAGAGTAAAATGAGAGAATTGTATTATTATCTCAATATGAATTGTATACAATACTTTTTCTGAGATTCATATTTATAAACTTAAAGAATATGTATAATGTAGAACTTTAACTTTAATTGATATTAAAGTTTTAATAATAAAGTATATAAAAACTCTATCTTATAGATAGATAGAGATAGACATCCACATAAATAAATAGTCATAACATTATTCATCTAATCATATTTTATAATAATTAATTTTAATTAGATATATATATATATATATATATATATATATATATATATAATTCTAAATAAGTTGAAATAATTGAGGGGAAAGAGTTAAAAATGGTCCTATCAGAAGAACCAATCCTCCACCACAATAAACCAATGTTTAATTTATTTATTTCCCAAAAACGTAACTATCTAACATATAATTTATGGATTTCCCGCTGAAAAGAAAGGACTATACTCTACATCATACACGGTCTCCCGAATTCTATTTTAATCCAAAGTTTTCCTTATTATATTTACTTCATTAATTCTTTGAATATATAATAAGTAGCGATAAGATATGAAATCAAGTTTTATTTAAGATTGATGAAAAAAAATAAAATTTGTCCAACTTGTAACAAAAACGTCATTTTTATAAAGTTTGTTTTATTAATTACATTCAAATATAACTGTGACAGATATGTTATATTTTAGTTACATAAAAATTATCTCAATAAGTCAGTATGGATCATATAAATCTTTTTGACAGGAAATTATGTTAAATTTTCTCTTTTCAAACCATACAATTTTTAATAAAACCATGAATTTATTTAAGAATTAACATGTTGAGTCCATAATTGACTATAAGAAGAAAACAAACCAAATATGAATTATTCCTCCATAATTTTATAAAAGAAAAGTAGAGATATTTTGCCATGGATGCTAACACTAGAGCCACATGAAAGCTTTAAAAATCATTAGAGAAATATCTGGAAAAGTGAAGATTTGGGTATCAAAAATTTCAATGCATGAAATTAATAAGGAAAAGATTACGAAAGTACGTTTCACAGCTCACCAAAGTACCTACTATATTGTGCTAGTAAAAAAAGATAAAAATGTAGCCCGAATTTCTGCGCAATTCTGGATTTTACTCCAACAATAGAAAAGATGGATGAATTTGAACCGTTTAAAATGGAGTGGAGACGTCCAAATTGGACAGCTAACTCGGTCGTTTCGTCTTTTTAAAGATTGTTTTTTTCCTTCATTGAGTGTAACATCAAAAATATAGTAAAATACTGTTGTTTTCAGCGAGTTAAGAAAGACTTGATTTTTTAAAATGACAACCGTTTCTGCCTATAAAAACCCATCTCCCCTCTCATCTTCTTCCCCCCTCCCTCCCTCGTTGTTCTTCATTGACTACAACATTTCACTCTCTCTGTTTCTCGCCGTTCTCAAAAGCTCTTCCTTCTACCATCTTTTCTAGCTTTGTAAGTTATTGTTCCATTGCAGCTTTGCTTAAATTCTCTTTCATTTGCTTCATCTTCAAACTAACTTCTCTGCTTTCCCAGAAAATTACGGGTCTTTTTATTGCTTAAAATTCAAGGTTTTTGCCTTTTGGTTTGGATATTAACTTCATTTCATTGATAATTCAAGGTTCCTTGCTGGAAATGGAATATGAGAATCAATACATGCTAACCCAGAGGCCTAAGTATGATTGCCTTCTGTTTGGTAAGCATGATATAGTTGACAAGAACATGTTAATACATGAATTTAATATCTGACAAGGATCTATTAACCGAAACTTTTTCTTGAATTTTGCAGATCTTGATGATACCCTTTATCCCCTTAGTTCTGGTATTGCAAGAGAATGTGGAAAGAACATTAAAGGTAAACATTTGCATTGTTTTACTATCAAGATTGCATTGTAGTCTAAACGTTAAATGAATGGCATTTGCAGATTACATGGCTGAGAAGCTGGGGATTGAACAGGACAAAATTGTTGAATTGTCCAATCTTTTGTACAAGAATTATGGGACAACAATGGCTGGCCTCAGGGTATTTACTATTTACCCTTTTAACATCCTTTTCATTATTTACAATTAAAGTAAAAAATATATATTTAATGTGCTTATTTCAACCTTTTCGCCTTTGCAGGCTGTTGGTTATGACTTTGACTATGATGAATACCACAGTTATGTTCATGGAAAGCTCCCGTATGATAACTTGAAACCGGATCCTCAATTGAGGAGTCTATTGATGACTTTGCCTCTTAGGAAAATTGTAAGCTGTTGATTAACCTTGATGCTTAGACAAAGTTTTGAGCACGTCTTTATTCAATTGTCTCCTAACAAGGTTTTATGTTGTTTTCTTTTGTTGATTTAGATCTTCACAAATGCAGACGGGGCCCACGCTGCTAAAGCTCTTAGCAAGCTCGGGTTAGAAGACTGTTTCGAAGGGATTATCTGCTTCGAAACACTCAACCCTACCCATAAGAACATGGTTTCCGCTGACGAAGACAACGTTGAATTCTTGGGGTCACCTGCTACAGGTGATGATGGTCCTAGCAGGAGCAGCCCTGAAACTTTCGACATAATCGGCCACTTTGCTCATCCGAAGCCGGATGTAACATTACCCAAAACACCCGTCGTCTGCAAGCCCCAAGAATCCACCATCGAGCGAGCTCTCGAGATTGCCAACGTCAGCCCTCAGAGAACGGTGAGATTATCTCTATATTGTTCATCTGTCATGTATATGTTACAATTCCAGGCTACTGATGTTTTGCTGTTTTCAGTTGTTCTTCGACGATAGTGTCCGCAACATCCAGGCCGGAAAACGTGTCGGTCTCCACACCGTCCTGGTCGGCTCTTCTCAGAGACCTAGAGGTGCAGATTATGCATTAGAAAGCATTCATAACATTAAGCAGGCGTTGCCGGAGCTGTGGGAGACGGAGATGAAATCCGAAGTCAACTATGCCGGACAAGTTGCAGTGGAAACGTCTGTGACGGCTTAGATCATCTTATGTTTTCTATTATTCGAAAAACGGCATCTAAACTCCTAGTGGGATCATATTGTCCCCATTCCCTTGTTCATATGATGTAGATGTATTGTTCTGATATTCATTATATATGGCTATAAATAAAGGGAAAATACTCCTTTTCTACGTTAACCCGTGCTTCCTCCTGTTTAGGATTGCATAATCAGTGTTGTCTTAATCGATCTGAAGAGCGTATCAATCACGATATCAATATAATACATGATTAATGATGTCGTATGTGGATGTAATTTAACCATTTTCATATAATGGAGACATTGTATGTAATATATAACAGTCTACACATTTGCCTATAAGGATTCCTCATTTTGTTTGTTCAACGCTTGATGCACATGGGAGTGGATCTATCCTTCAGATTTGATCCAATCCATTTACAGGTACATAAAATGGCATGTAAAGAAAATTGCAAAATTCGTATCTGTATATCACAATCTTTTTCCCCGGCCAAAGTTGCCTATACGGAGGTTAGCTAAGACCCAATTCTTCAAGTAGTTGATGTTCTGATTACTTTCAGCTCCGTAGATGTAAACCAGATAACCAGCTTCTTGCAGCGTGCACCTGTAATCTATTGCAATCAGTTGTCCACCTGTTTTACTTTCGTATCTTGCACATCTGCTTGTAATGTATTGTAATGACTGGGTTTCGGGACATTTCTCTCATGTCATCCTACCTACCGTTAACTCCCACGTCTCGGTACGAAAGATGACATGTAAGAGGTGCCCGAACCCGATCATTACAACACAGCAAAGAATATGAATAAAGGTAATTAGTGTTTAAATTATACATTATTTTATGATTAATTACTCCTTTATTAGATAATTTTAGTTGCTAACTTGAGCATTTTCATTCATTTTCGATGCAGGATATTGAATTTCAAAAATTATACTAAGAATAATGAAATCGTGTAATTTTTATTTTTCTAGATTCATGGCCGTATTAGTGGGCATGACTTGGGACATGACACACCCGACATGGCAACTAGTGAGTGTGGACGTGGCGATGACGTGACAACTGACGTGGCAAGTGACATGACGCCCAGTCAATAACTTTTAGAATGTCAAGTTTACAGCTTCTAAAAGATAGATGGACAGCTGGATCATTTCAAGCAATTTAAAATTCAAGTTTTAAGGATTTTTTTAGTATTTAAATTTAAATAATTATCTTTTATTTTCCCGTCTATTTTTAAGGTTTTTAGAAGGCTATAAATACCCATTGGGGTAAGCCTAATGGAATAATCCTTTCATTTTTTCTTTAGTTTAATAAAAATTCTTTTATTCTTTTATTCTATTTTCATTTTCTTTAATTTTCTTTCAAGCCGAGGGCTAAAGCGATGACTCAATTTTAACGTGAAAATTGAAAAACACTTGAACAACTTCGGAATATCTCTCTCAATCTTTACGCTTATTTTCAAAATCAAAGATTGACTTTGGTCAAGATGTTGTTGCGTTTAAATGTGTGAGAGGAATGATCGAATTATTGAAAGCACATTCGACTTCTTGGGAATACATTTGGCAAGATTTTCTTACTAAGAGGGAATTGAGATCGATTTTTAATTTTTATTGAAACAAAAATCTGAGTCGGTCTTCACGAACTTAAACAGTTATTGATCAACAACAATTGAAGTTGATCAGATCAATTTCCGAAGCCGGAATCAAAGCTTGGGTATTCCGTATACAAAGAAGAGTCACGAAGATTGCCCTTGTAGACAAAATAACCGATGTAAATTCCGAAGGGAAAATCTATTTCCATGATCCAAAGGAAATTGAGTCAAAGCGAATGTCTTGAGAATCAGTTGTCCTTAAACACTTTAGCGGAATGAGTGAATCCTTTGTGAGGGTATTGAGTCTTGCATCATGAGATTAGTGAGCTATCAGAATGTCTTGTTATGATTTAACTTATTTCCTAGCTTTGCCACATGCTTGATTATTTTCTAATTTCAATTCATTGTCTTGATTTTAATTCATTGGATGATTAAAGTATGATGTGAGTTATAGAATGGAAACTATTGATTTTGGCTTCTTAATTGAGAAATGTTTGAGGACAAGCATTAGATAAGTGAGGGGGAATTTGATTAATGTTTAAATTATACATTATTTTATGATTAATTACTCCTTGATTAGATAATTTTAGTTGTTAACTTGAGCATTTTCATTCATTTTCGATACATGACATTGAATTCTAGAAATTATGCAAAGAACAACGAAATCGTGTATTTTTTTTTGATTCATGACCATATTAGTGGGCACAACTTGGGACATGACACACCCGACATGGCATCTAGCCAGTGCTGATGTGGCGATGACATGGAAACTGACGTGGTGATGACATGACATCTGATGTGGTGATGACATGGCAGATGACATATTAGGTGACATGGTGCCTAGTCAACAACTTCTAGAAGACCAGTCAGCAGCTTCTAAAAGATTGATAAACATCAAGAGCATTTCAAGTAATTTAAAATTGATGTTTTTAGGATTTATCTTTTTATTTTTAAGATTTAAATTTAAATAATTATATTTTATTTTTCAGCCTATTTTTAGGATTTTTAGAATGCTATAAATACACATTAGGGTAAGCCTAATGGAATAATTCTTTCTTTCTTTCTTTAGTTTAATAAAAATTCTTTTCTTCTATTTTCGTTTTCTTTAATTTTTTTCAAGCCAATGACTAAAGCGATGACTCAATTCCAACATGAGAATTGAAAACACTTGAATAACTTCGGAATATCTTTCTCAATCTAAACAATTTACAAAATCAAAGATTGACTTTAGCTAAGATGTTATTGCAATTAAATGTGCGGGAGGAAAGATCGACTTATTGAAAGCACATTCGACTTCTTGGGAACACACTTAGCAATACTGCCTTGATAAGAGGGAATTCAAATCGAAATTAATAGTTATTGAAATAATAATCCGAGTCAGTCTTCACGAACTTAAACGGTTATTGATCTACAACAATTAATGTTAATCAGATTAATTCCTGAAGTCGAAATCAAAGATTGTCTTGGGTATTCGGTATACAAAGAAGAGCCACTAGGTTTCCATTGTAGACAAAATAACCGACATAAATCCCGAAAGAAAAAATCTAATTCGATGATCCGAAGGAAATTGAGTCAAAGCGAAAGCCTAAGGTTGATTTTACCATATTGAATTTTCTTTTAAACTTTTCTTTTTAAATTTCTTTTTAACCTTCTTTAAAATCTTTTTATTTTTCTTTATTCTATTTTATTTCTCTCCATCTATAAATCTCAACTATTACTCAAATTCTATTTTATTCACTTCTTGGCTCAAATATTAAACAAAGTACGAATAAATTATGAAGTTTCCTTAGTCTCTGTGGGATCGACCCTTATTTAATCTCTGTGAGATCTACCCTTATTTCTCTTTTATTACGTTAAATTTACTTTATTTTTTAATTGAAAAAAATTATTTTGATGCGAAAAACGACGTAGTTAGTCCTTGAAAGTAAGATATATTAAACATCCTTATGCAGGTTTCCAAGCAGAAAGGGCATAAATTATTCTGCCCTTCCATCCTTGCACCAGCCACTTGCTATCTTCATCGATTACGAAATCCTTGTGGTAGAACGTCCGGACTCTCTCGAATGCTTCCTTGACTATCCCGCGTTCAAACGGCTGTTGTAGAAACCCGGCCCTCAGATTACGTGCGTGCCACTGCTTGACTGTTTCCGGCCGCTCCACTCTCTTCCAGCTCTCGCAAGCTATGGCATTCAAGGCCTCCCTGCCGAGGATCTCTCTCTCAATCACCATCCTCTGCCAATCCTCGTGGGGCACAATTGTGTCGAGCATATCAAACATTGAAGAGAAATGAAACAAAGCCTCCCGGAACCGTGTCAAAAAGAATGGAGCATTGAAGGAACCATTCGTAATCCCGTGGAGAAACAAATTTGGATTAATCTTATGAATCAGATTAAGAACCGTATTCCTTGGACTATGTACTGCCACTGTTTCATCAAGCAAATTCTTAGCACGATACAGGCAGTTAACAACAACAAACTCATCCTCCTCAATACCTAGTTCCTCGACTCGAACGTTCTCCCACTTCTTTGCGATTGCCTTATACCGAAATGGCACCTTGAACTCTTCAGCATAAGCTGCTAAACGCCTCCCAGTTTCCTCAACTCGCTCAGCCGGCCTGAAACCGGGTTGAGGGAAATCTATTCCGGTAATCCGAAGTTTCGGAGGCCCTCCGGGTCTCATAGAAAGCCTCTCAATAAGAGTAGGCCATTGAAAACCATAAAGAATACCAAAATCTATGACATGAAGCTTCATTGATTTTCTTGATGCAACACCGATCGACTTATTACATATGAAATGAGAAACCCTTCTAAAAGGGCATGCAGCAACATACAGAAGGTAAGCTTTCATAATATCAAAAGCTGAAGTTTTCTTACTGACAAGGCTTTTATAGATTTGGCTACCCGTACCAGCCAACCTCGCCTCGAGAGCATCAGCGAGATAATGAGCTAACCGTTGATTCCCATCTCCAAACGGTGACGAACGTTGTCGGATTTGCTTTAGCAATTCATTTGCAGCCCCACCACTCCTCTCATCAGCTGCAACAGCTTGTGCACAATGAATGAGCATTGACCTCAAATCCACCACTTCTTTTTTCCCATTTTGCTTCTTCCCTCGGCCTTTTCCACCGTTTTGCCTATCATTTTTACCTGTTCCATTACGCAGAGACTCACGGAGATCCGTGTACGGAGATGGCGGCCTGTTGGAGGTACAAAGCAACACCATATCTAACATCTCTGATCTCACAGTGGTTTCTTCAGAAACAGCAGCTTGCTTGCTGCTCCTTTCTTCTTCGGTTTCAACATCGTCTCTATGAGAAATCTTCCTCCCCTTTGAACCCATACCTGAGCTCTCTTCCTTCACCACATCATAAGCCTCAAAATTGCCAGAAAGATCCACATTGGTTGGTATAAATTTAGTTGCCTCTTCAGCCCCTTTCTGAAATTGCCAAATAGATTGAATCTCGCCATTAAAATCAGGCACTTGGAGAGTACTATTTGGGGACTCCAACATCCCCTCAAAGCTCGCCATTGAAGAGTCATACGATGATTGAGATATGCTAGAAACATAAGCACTTTGAGCCTGATTGGTGCCAAAATCACCCAGATCTTGCATCCACGCATTATCGTAAGCAAAAGTAGAGTTATTATGTTGAGGGGAAGGTGGATATTTCTTGCCAAGGACATCATAAAATGATTTCTCAGCAGCCTGAAGATCCAAAGACTCCTGAAGCATACATGATTTGTCATCCATATCTTCTTCCATCACTATATGGTTTATGTATCTCAAAATTGAATCTGAAAAATCACAGTCTTCAGTTGAGTCTTCTTCATGGCTCAAAGTTGACGTATTACTTGCTGCTGGATCAGGTTGGTGGCATTGAAATCCATGAAAGCTGTGATCTATATAACTATTATTGAATCCGGGATCCCCAACAAAGTTCTGGTTTTGAAACACGGGCATGGTTTGACGATTCCTCAATTCAAAGTCTGGAAACCCTTTTAACCTTGGATCCATAACCATCTATTGAAAAACACATGCAATTCCAAAAGCTAATCAAAGCTCAAATCTTTTGAGTCACCTCTAAACCTCTGTTCCAACAGCAATGAAGTTCAATGCTAAAAGGGTCAACTTTACAACGGAGGAATCAAAAGGCACTTTCTTTTGTTGTAAAAAGGAAAAGCAACAGATCGTACCTCGGGGAAAACCCAGTTTCAGAGAGGGGCACAAAGCAGACAAAAATGAAGAAAGAATTGAGGAAGCAGCCAAGCCAAGCAGGGCAGAGTTTGCAGTTGTGATGTCTTTAACAAAAGGTGGTGGAAGCAATAGCAGCCATTGATTTTGGCTACATGCAAACTTGTCTCCCCCAACAATGAATCAAAATGACAGAGTTGAATTTAGCTCTTAAACCGAGTCAGTAAAACAACTTTCGCTTATTGGGTATTGATTTTGGTCGCCGTGAATGATTATGACATAGGCTGAGTCTGAGCCGTACACGTGAAAACTGATCCACCAAAAGTAAGAGTAAACTACACTGATGGTTACTCAACTTTTGGTATGCTTTCATTTTTGTAACCAACTTTTTATACTTATATTACAATCATTAAACTTTTAATTTACTTTCATTATAGTCACTATTATTAACTATCATTAAGAAAAATTGACATGTCACGTTAAAGTTTTTTTCCAAAAAAATTCTAAGGTTCCAAATTGGCAACAATCACAAAAAGTTAAGTTTTTCGATGAAAAGGATTTATTCGATTAGAAAATTAACATAATTCGATTTCAAGTTGATCTAACAATTGACAGTGAAGATCGAAAAATGTTAACTTTAATTTCAATTGAGACTTAAAAATACAGAGATTTTCGACTAATTTTAATAAAAAGAAGAATAAAAAGAGTTTGATGATCTTTTCAATTGAAGAAATTATTGAACGGTGACAGAAACACTGATAAAACTAAGACTGATAACTGTTAGATTCATTTAAGTTTTCCAAAATCTCACATCAGTTAGTTGTCATTAACGGTTTGACGGTTCAATAATGATTGAAATAAAAGTTTTCAATTGGTTTATTAAAGTACAAATATCTTAACGATTCAGTAACTATTAATATAGTTTATCCAAAAATACAGCAGAAAGAGAAATCGAAGTGGAGACGAAACTTCAAGGTCACCATCGGACATTGATGGTTGTAACCATTGGGTTTTTTTTATTTGTTTTTCTGACATGAATGTGCTTGTGTTTTCGTAGGTTGACTTCATGAACCAAACCAGTTCCTAATTACATTGTGTCGAGTTTAAGCTTAACGTTTAAATTCGAAGTACCCTCCATTAGCATAAAATCTTAATGCCCAACAGATAAGATTATTCCATTAATTTAGATAACCATTTTTGCAAAAGCTATCAACTTCAATACCAATACGATTGTTATTTTTAGTTACTGCTTAACCTGCTTATATGACGAAGTAGAGGTAGGGATAGCAACCAATAGGCTAAAATCGAATTTTCGGCTAATTCGATCCAATACGAGAAGCAAATATTTTTTCACTTGAATTTGACTAAACCCGATTCTAAGAAGATCTCATCCAACCTTAAACTCTTACTTAAATTTTGGATAAAAGCATATATTTGATCCGATATAAATATAAAATAATTATTTTTATTTGAAAAAATAGAAAAGGTATTAAAATCAATTATAGAAAATGAGTATTATAATAATTATTCTTAAATATATAGAAAAAAATTAAAATATCCAACAATCTTTTATACTCAAACTCGTGACTTTTAGAAATAATAATCCTTATTTTAACCGATAAGGTAGCTTAGTTCATACAATTTTTTTATTCAATACCAAAAGAGAAGTTATATATAATAATATAGGGACAAATATGGTTAGCCTTTTGATTTTATAATAATTAAGTACATATATGAATTATTTTTCTTTTTTGGTGCGGTGGAGAATATACTTTTGATTCGGAGGAATGGGAAAATGTTAAAAGCCACCAGCTTAGACTTCCATCATCCTAACTTGTTTATTCAAACCAAAGACATTTTCGTATACATGTTTAAAAGGAACACCATGGGAAGACAAGGGACCCGAAATTAAGGATGAAAACATAATTTGCATTGTCTTCTTTGCCATGTGTGATTCCCCCAAGACGCTAAATATATATAGGGTAAATTATAAGTTCATCACTCAACTTCCTTTTCACTCTTATTTTGGTCACTAAAATTTAAAAATTTTCAATTTACTCATTGAACTTTTGATTTACTCTTGTTTTGATCATTTAGGTGTTAAGTCATAAATGAAAGAGTGACATGACAATCACATGTGTCGATGTAGATTAATTTTTATTGGCAATCACCATTCTTTGGTGTCTTATTCAATCACTCTAGATATCGACAAATTCGTCTCATTGTCTTTTACCACTCTATCATTTTAGATTTTACCTGAACTACTTTAAAATTCAACTCTAAACCCAAAAGACATTAAAACCCAAACTATTATTAAGATCAATAATATTCACAATTTGATTTCCGTGAAATCATGGTATACAACTTGCTCCCTCTTTCTCCATCTCTCAACTATTGAGATTTGAAAGAATATGCTTCATCATCAAGAAATCAATAGATTCTGAAACTAGAGGATTTTTCATAAAAAAAATAAAACAAGTTTTGGGACTATTTCATAATTTTTAAAAGAAAAATGTGGAGTCATAAAATCGTAAACTATTTAGCTGCATAATGAACAAAATATGAGAAAATCGAGAGTTCAATGAGTGAATTGAAAATTTTTAGACTTGAGTAACTAAAACAAGGGTGAGAAGAAAGTTGAGTGATGAAATTTAGAATTTACCCATATATATATATATATATATATATATATATATATATATATGGTCATTACGTTTTCAAAAAGATTCCTTTATGGTTGAAAAGCAAAAGCTTTCATGTCAGATTGGTGTATATTAAAATGAAAAGTGAGGGGGTTTAAGGTTGAGTACGCTGTATCTAGTCGAGTTTGGTTGACGTGCTTGAGTTTTGCAAACGTTTGCTTTATCATAGCAATTGCTCCTTGGATCTAATCATTTTATTCAATTTGATACTTGAATTTAGAAATTCTTAAATTAGTACCATACACTTACATGATTTTTTAACAATCAATTAAATTATGACATGTGGCATTAATAACGTCACTGCCTCAATGCCACATCAACAACATTATTGACCGTTGAAATATAAATATCAAGTGGTCTATCAAAATATTATATTGAAAAAATTGACAAATTCAAAGAAATTGATGCATTAAGCCTTTTATCTATGATTTTTATCTCACCCAATATGTTTTTTTACAAAATAATAACAAAAAATATAATCTAAGACTCTTCTTGTTTGTAGATTCAATAATACACAATATCATTTTCTTTTTACAATTAAAACCAACATACTCTTCTTAAGGGTTTAATGCACTTATTAGTGTTTATGAAGTTTATAAGACTTATCATGTATATGTTATATTTTTATATTACGTTCAAAACTAATCGACTTTGAATGATATAAATTGCTAGTTATAATAATATCAATAGATTACTTGGTAATATTCTTTTTGGCCCCCTTGCTCTATGTCACACCTTTGACTTTTAATTTAATATTAATAGTTTGTGTTGAATGTTAACCCAATCATTTAATATTAATATTCTTTTATGATCCGAGCCTTGTTGAACTACATGGGCTTTCTGCAGCTGTGACTTTTGCAATGGAAGGCTCGCAGAACGTGATTTTTGAGTCGGATTCCACTTTGGTGGTTAAAAAGTTTAATTGTATGGATGAGGACATCTCCCCTCTTGACACCCACATGCAACCTATTCCTGATAATTGTACTATTTTTAGTAATTGTGATGTGGTTCATGTTCCAAGGGATGCAAATGGGGTCGCTCATAATGGGCTTTAAATATTAGCGTCACTTTATCTTTTGACTCGACATATCCCAAGTTCATTGCATAGGATGTAAAAATCGATATGTTTCCTCCGTAATTAATGGAGTTGGGCACTCTTCTCCTCTCACACTACCCTTAATCTTATGTTGGTAGAAGGGATTCTTAACGAGTTTCGTCTTATTCAAAAAGAAAAGGGGATCAAAATCGAATTAGAAAATAAATTCTTTGAGTGGACATAATAGTAGAATTACCATTTAAATCAAAGGGCCTACCCCATATTTGCTCATGACTGTCAAGATACCCATGCATGCAGGGATTGATCGAGGGGACAATTGGGGATAATCATCCCCTAAAATTTAAATATTACTATATATTTTGAATTTTTTTTATGTTCATATTGAAAATTTGTTTTTAACCCTAGAATTTTAGTTCGTCCCCTTAAAATTTTAGTTCATCCCCTTAAGTTTAAGTTCGTATCTTTAACATAAAATCTTAAGTCTGTTCCTGCCAACAAATGACCATGGAAAAGAAGATCAAGACGAAGAGATGTTGATGGTACGCACGTTCTGTTGTAAATATTATAAAATTACTGTAAAATTAAAACAAAATTTTAAAGTTATACGAATATTAAATTAAAATCAATGTTATCGATAATATTAATACGAATATTTAAAATTTATACATCTAAAAATTGAAATGAAAATTGGTGATATTATTTCTCTCGAAATTTTAAAGAAAATAGAGAATTTGTAGAGAAGTGTGTAGAGAGAATTTATTGGATAGGAGCTGTGAGAGGGGAGTAAAACTGTAAAAATGACCCACGATTATAAATCGACGCGACATTGACATGTGTGCACGTGTGAGAAAGATATGCCTTTCAATGTTTAATAAAGAATTGAGAAGTTAATGATATAAATTAAGACAATTCTACAGCACTCTACCGACATCGATGAGGACTATTAACGATAAGTACTATTAATTTAATTTATAAAATTTTAAATTTTAAATAATTTAACGTATAATTATAAATTACTTAAAAATTTAAAAAAAATATTTAAAATAAAGCGTAAATTTTAACAATGATAACCTAATTATTGCTCTTTTTAATTTTGACTATTATTTTTGAATTTTTGTCAATCATGTCACTCAATTATTTAAATGCATTCAATTAAATTACTTGTCGTTAATATTTAATGGAAAAACTAATGTGATAGTTAAAATATTTGGTATAATTACATATTTGGTCATTGTTACTTATATACTTTTATCAATTTGGTCCTAATTTTAATAAATTAGAATAAATTTGACCCTCAAAGCTAGTAGCATGAACAAACAAATTACAAGCCAATTTGACTATGTAAATCGATCAAAATCGTATACAATTCATCACGAAAATAGAATCAAAATAAAAAGTTATATAAAATTATATTAAAATTTATGTATTAAATTATAAATTGAACGGGATTTATTTATAATTATAAGTTATGAATCCACTTAAAAAACGATGAAAATATAGAAAAAAATGTGATTTATATCTTATTAAAAAAACAGAGGGTACTAAATCCATTTTATTGATCCAGTTACAGGATCAAGTTTATGCCCTGTATATTGGTTCTTCTTACAGCTGGTGCCTTAAGCGTATCTTCAAACTTCGAGCTGTGACTTATCCCATTATTACTGATGGAACAGGGAAAATTTCTGATATATGGGACACTTTGTGCGATAAAAAACCTCAAGTACCATGGCAAAATATTATCTGGTTCCCTCTACATGTTTCTAAATTTAGTTTAATCTCTTGGATGGCTTTACTTGATCGATTACCAACTAGAGATAGGCTCTTCCATATGGGTAATATTAATGACCGTAAATGCATACTCTGTGACGACCCTTGTGAAACAAGAGAGCATTTATTCTTCTCCTGTCCAACGGCTAACCAACTGTGGTCTGCTGTCTTCTCCTCCTCTGGCCTGCCATTCAATATTTACTCTTGGAAAGATCTTATCATGAGAGCAAGTACTAACTGGAAAGGAAAATCACTTCAAACTTTGATCATGAAACTAGCTTTAACATCTCTTATCTATACTGTTTGGGACGAGCGCAACAAACGTCTATTCCAAGATCGATCCAGCAACTTACATGAACTATTCCTTAGCATAAGAATACTATTAGAATTCAATTGAGTGATAGGAATTTTAATATGAATTATAATGTTAACATTACTCTATGTGAGCAATGGGGTATTGCATGATCTGTTTCTTTTGTATAGGCAAATCACTGATTCCGACCTCCGATGTTTTTTGTATCTGTTACTGTTCTTGGATAATAAAATAACGATTTATCCAAAAAAAAAAGTTTAGGACCTGCAATTTTTCTCACTTAAGTGAAGGAAAGTTTCTTACATGGTTTGAAAGGAGCAAAACCAACAACCGAGTTGTGTCCACCAAAGCTAAATGAACATCAAATATTTTATTGATCAAGTTACAGGATCAAATTGATAGAATATATAAGTAACAGTGATCAAATGTGCAATTATATCAAATGTTTTAACTGTCACATCAGTTTCTCCGTTAAGTATTAACAATAAGTGACTTAATTGAATGTATTTAAATAGTTGAGTGACTTAATTTATAAAATTTTAAAAATGATTGTCAAAATGGAAAGGGGCAATAGATAGGTGATCACTTGTATAATTTACTCTTTATTTAAAATAATTTACTTTTAAATTTTCAACTCATTTATAATAATTATAAATTGAGTATTTTAGAATTTTAAATTTTTATTGCTCAGGCTTCCTTTTATGGAGGCAGTGACGCCTCCGGTACAATGGGTATGAAAAAATATCGGTTGTTTTCTTTGTTATTCGGTCTGTATTTGTCCCGCAAAAACTATGAACATGTGTATGAAAAGATGGTGGTTGTTATTGTTGGTTTAGGTGGTGTATGTGGCTACGGGAATCTGTACATCCAAGGCTACGGCGTGAACACAGCAGCTTTAAGCACTGCGCTTTTCAACAGTGACCTCAGGTGCGGTGGTTGCTTTGAGATTAAATGTGCAAATGACCCACGGTGGTGCCACCCTGGTAGCCCTTCCATTTTTGTCACTGCCACTAACTTCTGCCCGCCTAATTTCGCACTCCCCAGTGACAATGGCGGCTGATGCAACCCTCCTCACCCTCATTTTGACCTCGCCATGCCTATGTTCCTCAAGATCGCCGAGTACCGTGCCGGTATCGTCCCCGTCTCCTTCCGAAGGTGAGTCTGCGAAAAACCTCTCTTTCTCGCCATTGTTTTGCTTTTTCGTACGACTTCTTGAGTTGGGTTTATTTGGTCGCCTGTGGGAAATATGTTTTTCTGTTTTCTTGGGAACCAAACAGATTTTTCGTTGAATTATGATTTTGTCGTTAATTTAACAACTTAATACGGTAATAGAGGATGGATTATTAATTTTCGAAAACGGGAGGATCTAATTCTTTATTAGACCATCATTGATATTTTAAAAGTACGCGAGAGTACGACGAGAATCAACGACATCCCAAGTTCGGATTCGGTCACTCATAAATGCGGGAAAAGGGGCTTAAAAGTTTTTTTTTTTAATTTTTAATTTACCCTCCATTTTTTTTATATTTTTAATTTTGCTTCTACAGAGTTCCGTGCAGGAACAAGGGGGAATAAGAAAACATCGAAGCAGAGGTCCTAACGTCAATGAAAGGATGTTTAAATTGCACTAACATTCCATATTACTTTATGCCATTATTCTATCCATTGTATAGACTTCGAAAGCCCATTAGATTCATTTTCTAAAAAGAAAACAACCTATTTTATAGGTTAACAAAATTAAGTCATAATAGCATTTCAACCCTTTTATTATCAAGCAATTGTTAGATTGTGTCAAGTTTGAAGAATGTATCTAATTATGCAAATGATGTTTTTAAAAATGTTTAAAGATTCATCACTTAACTAAATAAGCTTGTTTATTTTGTCATGGCATGAACCACTAAATCGTGCAAGTACACGATTACATATAATAATATTTGGGTAAATTGCATATTTTCATCACTGAACTTTACTCTCTCCCCGATTTTGCTCATTGAACTTTAAAAGTTTTCAATTTCCTCACCAAACTTAATACATTGAGTTCTTTTTGTCACTGTCTCTCCTATTTTGAGTCAATAAGTCGTTAACTAGTTAACGGCATTAAAAACAATATTGTTTTTTAAAAAACAAAAATTTCACCAAAACAACGTCGTTTTGCATCTATATAACAACCTATTTTAACGTCGTTAACTATTTAACGGCTGAGTGAGAAAAAAACTCAATTTATTAAGTTCAGTGACCAGATTTGTAATTTACCATTTTTTTGTACTTTTGTCTTTTAAAAAGTTGCCTTATTTCATGTGTACATTCAAGATGATGCCATTGTGTGTTGAGGAAGAAACATTAGTCCTTGTGGGGGCTAAAGTGATTAGAATTGAAGAAGAAAGTGTGTGTATATGTGAAGTTAAATCGCACTCTCCTTTTTGCAAATGCTTACCAAATCTACTGAAAAGATTAAGAAATGGGGTTGTGGACACACAGGCAAAGATGGGAATGGAATATGTACCCGTTGTGTTTGCTTTATATTGAAGACTCTCCACTTTTCATGCAAATATCTACCCCCTGCCCATTGGGAATCGTTTTCTTTATTTTAAAGGTTCGAAAGTGTGTGCAAACTTTTAACAATTCAACGTTTGATTTCGCCATAGAATTGAAATATATTTCTGGGAATATTGAGATTTGGCCTGAACTGGGTTTGTCCTGATGAGCACACGTGTTCTCTTTATATTCTTGGATGACTAGGGAGAAACTTCAAAAATAAGAAACAGCGCCGTCTGTGGGAATCGAACCCACGTAAAAGCCACAAGCTCTACCGGCTGAGCTAAGACGGCAACAATAAATAAAGTCTATGCAAAAAGCTGTTGTGTGTAAGAATCTTCAAGCTTATTGCACTAGAAGTTATTCAGAAAGCTGAAAGAAGTTGAACTAAGTTTGAGTTTATTTATTACCTTGTTTGGAGCTGAAGATGAGGTTTTGTTCACCAGCAGCTATGGATCCAACTGTCCAGCCGTTGTTTAATGCACGAACGGCAGCCCCTCAACCTGGTTTTCAAATTCCAGGATACCAACAATATTCTTTGTTGGACATATCTATGTAGTACACATCCTATAGCTTATTATTATCAGGCCAAAAATGATTACAAGCACCATCACAAGACATCTGCCTCATCTTGCCACCCTCAAATCTGTTAAAAGCATAAAGAATAAACATGGTGCAGATAAAACTGAGTGACATCTATATCAGAAGATGTTGGATTAAAAAATTTTGTGGTTTGTAAACCTGCGGGAACACAGCACATGGAGGCTCTCTTGAATATCATATATGAGCTTTACACCAATGATGTCTTGAACAACCCCTTCTATGAGATATTGGAGATGCCTATATGGTACAAACTCTTAGAAGCAGGCAATACACAAGGACCGCGTTGCTCTGCTGCACGATGAAACTGTCCTTGAACAGGTATCAAATCAAATTCCCACCTCCTCTCGGTTCGTATCGGCTTTGTTCACGTGTTGTCTATCAGACCCCTGTGCTCAGTTCATATATGCCGTGTGATAAATAGCATTGGATGATTAGGAGAGTTTTACCATAACTTATGGTTTAAGGCCTCCATCTTCTTCGCATGAGAGCTATCTTCAATAGGAGAGCAAACCTTCACTGATAGATCTTAATCAAGGGCTTAATACACTGTGCTGTGTCATTTATCTCATCAATACTTCTGGGAGTGTATAATATTGCATCAAAATCATTTCCATATCATCCAAACATCTTCAAAGCAAGGAGAAAGGAGCTTTACATTCATTCATTACAGTACGGACTCACTTCCTTGCACAATGATCACCGTATTATACTTTGACAAAGTAGAAAAGCTCACATTCTCATACTTACGTTCGAATATATGTTAAATTTAAGGGAATCGGGGAAAAAAATTAAAGTCTCGAGGTAATATTATAAAACATAAAATAGATTGATTTCTTACAACAGGTTGATTGTTATCCAAGTAATGTTAATGAAAACAAAGTATGGTTAGTTTCTTATAGTTATTACCAACAACTATGTCCATATATTTCCCTAATCTCATTCAAAGTTTGGGGTAAAGCAAGTAGTAATTACACAATCAAATCAAGTTACAAATTTTTTTAATACTGAGGGATCAAATTGAGGAAGAAAATTCCTCTAAAAGATCATTGAAAATAAGCTCTTCAACCTCCAGCGCTAAACTTTCATGATCGACCTGTAGGCTCATCCACCCATCATTTCCCATTAGATCTCTACTGGCAACATAATCCAATGGTTTATCGTAACCTGTTTTGTAGCTCAAATACCAGGTTATGCTTTCCCACACTTGCTCGAGCACATGGCGTCCGGCCGGAATTGGACGGACGTGGCACAGTGGAGATAAAACTCTGGGGTAGTAACTATAGGATCTTTCGTAAACTTCTACTAGTACCTCATTGGTTAGATCGAACAAAAGTGGGTGATTACAGTAACCAACTTCTTCCCCTTCCATCGAACAATTCGGGTCACACCTAACGCAGCCTTTGATTTCCCCGAACATCATGGGATCCAGTGGCTGGTTTTCTGCGTGCCATGCACCGAGTGCTTCACTCATACTAAATCCCGATAGTTCAAGCACATCTTTCACGTATGCGAATTTGGGTTTGTCAATTATGTCTAAATCCTTCTTTAAAGCCTCTAATTGCTCTAATTCAATTATGCCTCCACCAGCCACCTTAAGGGTAATCTTTGTTTCTTGTTGCAGATCGGGTAAAAAGTTGAGTTCTTCGTTCCGTTGCTCGAAGCTTTGATTTGGCTCTATTTCTGTTTCTGGCCATGAACCATCCATTGATATAATAAAGGGAAATGTAATATTTGCATATAATAGTTCAAAAAGATCAAACAGTAAGGTTCAATAGGGCATATACCATGTACTTTTGAACTTTCTGCAGAACTATCTGTTGGCTCATCAGAACTTGGTTCTTCCTGCTTTGTAAGAGGAATGACTTCAGGCTTACTGTCTTGTTCTCTTTTTGAAATATTTTCTGATATGATCATCGAGTTCTCCTTTTCATCATCAGTTTTTTCGAAGCGATCTAGTTCTGAACTATACCCCAAAGCCTCTGATTCTAAGTATTTTCGTTCATAAGGACTATATTCAACGTTGGTTGGGGTCGGTACCTCTGATGAAAATGAAAATGCATCACAGCTATAAGCAGAAGAATATAGCTCAGGAGATGAAAGGATTCTTCTCATGTATTTTTTCGTGCTCCTACTATGCGAAAGGATCGGTTCTTCTTGTCTTTGTTGTATAGTTTTGGTGATTCTTTCATCTTTAGCTTCTTTACTGAAACTATGTTCAAACAGTTGTGCATATCTATCCATGGACGCATTGAAAGAAGTTCTTCGCTCGAGCCGCATACTTCCCCGGCGGGACAAAGACGAAGAGTAAAGCTTTTTAGTCTTGGCAGGGTCCTTGACATGATCGACAATGTCGGGTGTCAAGTCCTTGGAAAATCCTTTCTGGTGAGGTATTTTGTGAAGGACAGCATCCATGGCAATCCTATGCCTCTCTTTCTCTCTCTCCTTGATTACAGATCTTAGATTATCTCTAAGACTCTTGAATCTACTTCTCGCTGCTTCGGATCGATTCGGATCGTGGGACGAAGAATCTGAAGAGGAAATGTCAGCCATTCGAACCTTTGCTTGGTTTAGATTATGATCTGCAGGCTCGCTAGCACCGGAACGTCCATCATTAGAACATACATCGGCCTCCTTTCCTTTACCGGGTCCATCAGGGCTCTGGTTTTCCCTGCTGGTTGAACCAGTGGAAGCCATTTGAGCACTCATAGCCAGATGTTTATGAAAATGGTGAGCAAAAGGCGAGTCAGGGTCCTGTAAAACCGTCAACAAAAACCCTTGGTTCATCTTGATTATATCCAAAGCATCCATTAGATACTTGGATTCTTGTAATGCTTTCCTTTTACCATCAAGGTCTCCCTCTAAGAAAAGGACACTCTCGAGCAGAGTTTTCGTGTTTTCGTCGATTTCGTCTTTGCTCGAACCGTTCCGGACACTGCATTCTTCATCGGTTTCGTAACTGGCAATGCGTTCCTCGGAGGATTTTCGTGCATCTTGATCCTCGGAACCACTTCCGTTCCAGATACCTTTGTTCTTGTTGGACCGTAGGGAACTCCCTTGAGATTGTTCCATGTTAGGGAGATGATCAACTTGATTATCCGGATCCGATTTCGATGGTATCGGGCATGTCGAACTTCTGTGATGGGTGCCTTGCCCCTTCCTTTTCGACACTTCATCGGTTATCAGTGCTTTCAATCGAGATGTCACGCTTTTAGATCCTGTACTCGGAGCTTTCTTCTTCCCTTCAACCTGCAAGTTTCGAATTAGATGCATATTCGTATCGGACATGATAAAAAAACGAACATAACCGTGTCCGTACATCAACTCACCTTAGAGCTTGCTGCTTCAGCTTTCTTATGTTTAGAAGAATCATCAGCGCTTCTATTTGAGGCTCCTACTGATTCATCCATTGGTTTTTCAGACCCTGTGATAAGAAGCCCGAAAGCTTGTTACCATTCCCATGAAAGGTGAAAGCTTCTTCGAAATAAACAAAATTCGGGTTCTGGTCAGATCAGATCGGAGCTTACCTGCATCTTGCTTCTTGGTTGAAATCCTCTTCTTAATAAACCGGCGATTCCAGTGATGGTATTTAAGTACATGAAAAATACCCCACGTGCAACTGGGGTGATTTTGATGACTTTGAGGGATGGGCATGTTAGAGGAGTTGGTTCGCACTTTGGCTCGCTGATTTAACTTGCGTTTTCCGACCTGCTTAAACAACAAATTTACAAGCTTGTTGAACCTTTTCTTGGTTTTTGTAATCGTTTTCATGCAATCGTTCAAGATGAATTCTGTGTATTTTTTTATTATTTTTTCTTTTCCAGCCAACCAAACAAGCATTAGGAATGGAAACAAACGAAGCACCAATGTCGGGGTAAGTAGTTTAGATTTGTCTGGTTCTTAATCTCCTCGTTCATTTTCTCTGCTTTTGGATGTTTCTTTCAGTGCATGCCACCCAAACCATTCTAACTAACTTAACTGTCTATATTTCTCCTTGTTTACTGCCTGTCCTCAACGGCTGAGGTGTCGACGTATCTCTTTTTTATATATAAATTGAGTAAATTTTAATTATTATTTTATTATCTAAACCAAAATATATTTTAGCTATTCATTTATTTATTAATATAAAATAAAGTATTCACATAAAATAAAAATATTATGATAATTCACTAATTGATCCAAAAAATTATAAAAAGAATATGATGAAAACTTTTATAAATTAAATTATATATATTATTATCGACCAAACCTTAATAACGTTAAAAAGATTTGAAGGTTATAACTTTAAATGTGTCACGACACATTTCATTACACAATTACCTCATATTAATATATATAATTTCCAATATGTTCTCAAAGTGATGTTGTCAGTATACTTCATTTACAATCAACTAAGAACAAAACCCTACCATTTTACTCAATTTTCAGCATTTCATTCACTAGGTTCTCAGAACAAAAACTAGACTCCCTCAAGTCATCCCAATGTTGAAAATCACATCAAGAGATCTCGTAAGAGATGCAAATAATTCCGTACTTTTTTTCAATGAAAATGACAATATACAAGTACCAAAGATTTTGTTTTACATGTGTTTGTTAGGGGATATAGTGATTCTATTCATCTTCCTGATGTCCCATGTTTGACGGTGTCCGTTTCGGAATTCCAGTAAAACGGTTTGCCGACTCCAGATACTTTGGAAGAGCTTGAAGATGAATGGATTGAAGAAGTTTGCGAGAGATTTCTACCTTCAGGTTGTTGGCAGCAATGCATTAGCTTCAGAGCATAAGCATCATCGTGCAAGCGGAATGGCATACTGCCATCGAGATACAACGATAAGTAAAAGATGAAACTGCCATGATAAAAAATCAAACGTATAAAACAAAAAAAAAGGTTACATGTTATCCATGGTAAAATAAAGTGTACTTGCCTGTTAAAATCAAGGTGCACCAGTTGCATATCCTCAGAAATCTCAATCTCAACAGTGGCATGTGGGCTAGTCTGTAAATAGAGGAGAAAGTAAACAGAGAATACATGAAACTTTTACCAGCTGCAAAGATAGAAATACTCTTACTTGAACCAATAAAAATGGCAAGGTAAATCCTTCTTTAGGATCTGTATTATTCGTGAGCATCCGCTGGTTCCGTTTGATTATATTCTGGATACCTGCAATCTTTTTCGATTTTTCATTGACACATTAGGCATGGAAGGTAGCTGATAAACTCACTTTCAAGAACAAATCAAAATAATAAACAGGGAAAAAAATCATTTATGCGCTGTTGTAAATGGCTCGTGAATCATGTGTGAACTTCAGTGTTTCTCTCTCCAACACTAGAGCACAAGCAGGTCTTCTATAGATGCCAGCATGGTGTCCAAATGTAATAAAAAAAGAACTTACTTGTTCTTCTAAATCTTTCAAATAAGCTGCTTTCCTTGAGACATTTGTCATTAATTGAACACGCATTGCCTATAAGCATAAAAAATATTCCCTCTTGTGAATTCATGCGTCCATGGTGACATGCGAGTTCAATCAAAACTGTGGTTACATCCAGTAACTCAGAAGATTACCAACCTTGAATTCTTCCAAATCCTTCGTTTGTGTAGGAGAAATCCCCTTCCACCTGATTTCTTTCTTCTCCCTCGTAATAATATCCATTGCCATAAGTACATTCAATGCATCATACACCCGTCGCCGAACATTCTTCTCATGGAACTGAAAAACCCAAAATGCTCATTTGCTTTTGCATAACATTTAAGGGGCAAGCATCAGATGATTAAAGAATAAGAACTTGAAAATATTGGGTGGGAATTAAACCTCATCCAAAGATCCTGCTGCATGAGTCTGAGTGGTGGAAAATTCTTCTATAATTTCATCCGCAACCTGCAAAACATTAAACACTCAACTCAACTTGTGAAATTCATGCTTGACTGAGGAAATATACTCTAATCAAGAAGGAAAAGCATCTTCTCTCAGCAAAGCAACATGTAAGACATCATACTTACTATTCTAGAGCATCAAAACAATTTCTCAAGTGGTGTATTGCATTAAAGACCCAATTCCAGTTTTACGAATGCAATATGAAACCATATGTTCATGTTCGTAGAAAGCTACAGTGACCAAGTTACCACATTATCAGAATTTATAATTCAAAGCATATATACATGCATACATATTATATTACATATAGCTTCTCACACTCAACAAAATTCTCATTTGATTCACTATATCTTTCACATTTACATAAATGAGAATATTGACCTAATATATCTTGAAGAGAAAAATATTTACTACCTAAAATTTAAATAAAGTTACCTCATGACTTCCTTATGAGGTCTTAATCACTTAAGCAAATATAGTGCGGAAACATACCTCAGCATATGTGGTGCTCCCCTTACTCTCCAATTTCTTACAAACTGAAAAAAAGAATGTTCAATTCAATCAAGACGATCATGGAATCCAAAGTAAGACATCATTGATTCCAGCAAAAAATAAGAATGTATGTACATTGCCCTCTAAATCTAATTAGAGATCAGCAAAAGTTAACACAACAAAATATCCTATATTTCCCAAGGAAAATAGACTAAATCTAACTTGATATATAAAAATCACTAACCCATAACACTGAACTGGCGCAGCCCCCCGCCAGGCATTCTTGATACCTTCTTCTTCGGTGTACTGGTTATTTAGAAGAAAAATAAACATAAAAGAACATAATATTCATCACTGGTTCAAGTTCTTACATGTATAGTTATTAAAACAGATATAACGAAAACCGATTAAAATGAAAATTGTAAATCACCCTTCAACAAGACCAGCACTCGTATTCTTTTGCTTGACTGCTGATCGATTCATCCTATGAGAAGTTGAACCATTTGTTGGAGTAGCAACCGGACTCTGCTCACCATGAGGTCTATCTTCTAAATGTGGGTCGTCCATCATATTCACTCACTAATTATTACCACAAAACAAAGCTAACCCAAAATTATCAAAGCAAATACAAATCAATCAAAGCAAAAATTGGCTAAAAACATTGACTTTGAGCTAACACTGATTGTAATATTTCAGAATCCAATGCTCACATTCTTAACTCGGTATATGTCAACGATGAAACTTACAATACTTTTTAGATTCTCTATATTAAAATCAATGAAATTTTGTGAAATTCAATTGCCCATATGATTTTTATTCATATTGTTTCAACCTAAAATAACCCTAACATTATATATAATTAACATCTAATTCAAAAACTGAAGGAAAATCGAAGAAACGGACGATACTACCCTGAGGTGCAATCAGTGAATGAAGATTAAAAGCAGAGAAAAATCCTAAAAAAATAAAATGTGAAGCTTTTGAAAGGAACAGAAACGAATCGTGTTCCCGCTAAATGTTATTTTTCTCCCATGAATAGATCTGTCGTCAAGCAAAAGACTTCATCAAAATTTCTGAAATACCCCCCTTTTATTTCTGTTTACGGATTAGTCCATGGCGGGACCACGTGTCACAAACTGGTTGAGTTGCTAATTCGATTTTTGATGGGGCATACCAAATCTAACCGGACTTTTTGGTCCAATAGCGTTTACTCAACCTTTCGCATACTGTTACTTCTTTTCTCGAGTTAATTGCATTCTCAAACTATACCCAAATTTCGAATTGATCCTCAAACTTCAAAATATTCTAATTAAATCCTCAAGTGATCGATAGTGAACAAAATATTCTACCTAAAAGTTTAAGGGCTCAATTAGAGCATTGTCAAGTGTGTTTAATTAATATTAGAAAAAGCAAAAATATACGAATGATCCACATGATATCGAATATCAAATGATGATATTGAGATATTAAGCAATACATGAAAAAAAAAAACTATTTACACTGCTTTGATCTGAAATTTTCAGTATCAAGAAGTTTTACCAATAGTTTCTCAAGCCTCTTTGAACTCACAGCAGGTTTAACAGCATTTGGATCCCCGAAAACCACACAAGGATCTTTACCCGGACCCGAACCACCCACACACCAACCCCCTGGAGTAAACTGACCATTTGATCTCCTCAACAGTTCCTTGTCGATCTTATCGAGGGCCGAATCATTGTCCTCAGCAAACTTCCGAGCAAAAGGTGCTCCACTCCGAACCATGTCGTCGAAATGTTCCAATGTTAGGGTCATTGGATGCTGCTTTGGAGGATTATCCCATCTTATAAAATGCAAGTCATGATTTACAGTTGTGTTCTGGTAGTCTTTGTGATTGCAGACTATGGTGTGGAAGTAGCCTTCCTGAGACGACGGGAAGTTTGTGTAGTACATAAGGAGCGTGCGAGGAAGATTATCCCATCCCCAGATGCAGAACTCAAGAAAAAAATTTGTCAGAACCACCCACTCAGATCCTGGAAATGTATATCAAAATTTCATGATACAACATAGGATAAAAATTCATACATACACTAAATATGCTATTTCCAGATACAAGATGATACATACAAAGCATGGAAATCAATTTTTTTTTGACTAATCGACTATAACAAATAGCTAAACAAAACTTAAAACCATGATTTACTTCCATCAGAACCTTATGTATCGATATGCAACGATGCAGAAGGATCTTAAAACAGTCTAAAGAACATGTCTAACTAGCAGTTCTAAAACGATTACACACTTTTTCATGTATATATTAAGATGGTCTAATGAAAACCAGATACTGATCTTCAACGGGAAAACTAAAATCTGAGAATCTCAAAACTTTCTCTAAAATCATTCATTTACCATCTCTACATCTGCTTATATCGAATGAAAACCACATAGAGACACCAGCAGGCTTCTATAGACTCAATTACTAAGTGCCAACTCATTCGAGAATTTAGAGAAAACGATGAGATGTACAAAAACGTTACCCATGAATAACTTAAATGAAGCAGGCAATGATCTTTTCTCCTTAGCCCAAAATACACCCGATTTCTTTGAATGATATAAGCCAGGATCTATAATGATTGGCCTTCCTCTTTGATATCTGCAAACACAAAACAAAGTTACACTCAAAGAATGCTATGTAGATGACTACACGGTATATAAAGGGGGACATTATGAATTGACTGCTCACTCTTTCCAGCCGATGCTACTCGTGTGCTCAAGGAAGTTGAGATCCCTAGGCAAGTATGAAAAGACGTGCACAATATCTGAAACAAAAAACAATAAGCGAACAGCAGCTACTGGAACATGCCTAGGCCTGTCAAACCCTACATTTGTATTATTTTTTCTCCAAAAAGAGTGCAAATTCGAGAATTGCTGCTAATGAAATTGCAGATGAAAGTGGCTGCTAATTAACAGCAAAACACAACCTGGAATTATACTGGTCATTGCCTGTTTCGTCACCCGCAAAGCAGTCAGCGGACCAGCCAAGTTAAAGCGCATAAAACTAAAGTTGAAACAAGCTTGCACTTATTCACATACTACAAGTGCTTGCTTTAACCATTTTGACAACCAATTCAAGCAAACATTATAACCAAATATATACCATAACAATGTTGGTACATCCCAACTGTTATCGCTATAATTATAAAAATAAATACATACAAATGGTTTATGCTCTATCACCGTCAAGCATTGCTAAAATTCCATTGACAAAATGCAACTCATTACTATAAATATCAAGAATATTACTATATCTCCGTCGACCCGGTGCTTAACTCAGTTACCTATACAAATATCCAAATTACCCATAAACCAGTCATAAAAGGATTCATCCAATGGCAGCAAAATCAGAAGAACCCAACATTTTCCAACTCAGAATATAACAAAAATTGCTTCTTGCTTCTTACCATCTTGAGTCATGAGGGGATAATCAGATGCGCTAAGGTTGACGAACCAATCCCAGTCTTTAGCTTTCTTCAACAAAATGGCCACCGCGTGAAGCGTGCTGCCAATGATAGTAGGCCCTTTATAAGTCACCAAATCAGCTTTTCCGATCACCATCACATTCTCAAACTCCCTAATCACCCTCTCCGATTTCACATACTTAGCCAAATCTAGCCGCTCCGAATCCGAAGCATCCAGATCGAGGTGGAGCAGGTAGTAATTCCTGGGATGATAGACCGCCTGCAACAGCCGCTTGAGACGTGGAGCATCCCCTTTCGTCCCCGATATCAAGTAAGCAAATCTGGGTAACTCAGGTAGCCTGCCATGATCTCGTTGGGAGAAGGTGAATTTGGGGCGGTGAAAAGAGAAATCGGACTGGGAAGAAGTGGATTTAGTCTGGGTAGAAGTGAATGCGAGGAGAAAAGTGAGTGAAATGACCGATACTATAAGCAGCGGCAACAAAAGCCATGACCGATCTGCGGAAAAAGGAAAGTGAGATCTTTTCATTAATTGATTTTTGGACAGCTGAGCTGAGATTTAGGATGGGTTGTCAGAGCTTTAAGCTACTTTGAGAATGTTGGAGTTGAATTTGGTGTCGGCGTGAGTGGTTCCTGTTAAACGGAATTGAAATTTAATTTCAAACTTCGGTTATTATATGTGGCCTTATCCAGTTTTTCACTACTCTTTTTCTGGCCTAATTTATCATCATGTTTAAATTTAGTCGTACTAATCTTAGCATGTATCTTGTCAAATATTACATGTATATTTGAAAATATAATTTATATAAAGATAAAGATACACTTTGTCAGATTTTTTATTTTTATTTTTAAAGACACGTGATTAAAAGTAACCCCTTTTCTAAACGAATAATTGTTTTTATTAATATTTTATACACTTAAATTAAATTTAAATAAAATGTTTACAATTAGAGTTGGTTGGGTTTGTAAATATTCCCAAGTTTTGAAGGAACTGTTATTGATGATCAATGAATTTAGTATTTGTCATATGTTCCATAAATCATTCATCAGTAAGAACTAAATTTAATGGCGTCCAATTGCTTGAAGTGGAAGTTGAGTAATGAGTTGCATTTGACGCCTTTTATAGCCCAATCTCTAAGCAATCCTCACCAAACAAAATGCAGAGAGATGTGGTAAAAGACATGCTCAACTACATTTCTAGTATTCAGCTGAAGAGAGCTTAGACAACCCAATAATGGAACAATACAAACTGACAAATGGTGCAAGTTACGGTTTCAAGGCACTGAGATGTGAAGCACACCTACCACCTGCTAAAGCACGAAAATTATCGACATTGAGACATTTCATCATGCAAATCGGAAATCGAGTTTACCTCTTCAAAATCGGAAATCAATCCACAGATGCATTATGCAAATGCACATTCAGCAGGCAATTGATATCGAAACAAAATACATTGATATAAAAGTTCATTTAAATCCGATATTGTGTACCCAAAGAGCAACAAAAACCAATACAACCATCTTCGGATAGAGTGTAGCCAAAGAGCAACAAAAATCCCAAAATATCTATTTTAAACCGATTAAAAGAAACGACGATTAAAAAAAAAAAAATTTGAACAGCCAACAACTAAGATATAGGAAAAAAACTTTTGTCAACTTCCTCGATCTTGGGGCAAGCACCGCTTCCTCCAGCTGGGACATCATCATCCATTCCAGCACCCTGGTACATCTTTGCAATGATGGGGTTGCAGATGCTCTCCAACTCCTCCATCTTGTCTTCGAATTCATCAGCCTCGGTAAGTTGATTGGTGTCCAACCATCGGATGGCCTGTTCAATGGCATCTTCGATCTTCTTTTTATCTTCTGCGGAAAGTTTGGCCCCAATCTTCTCATCCTTCACTGTGGTCCTCATGTTGTACGCATAGTTTTCCAATGCGTTCTTTGCCTCAACCTTCTTCCTCTGCTCTTCATCCTCAGATTTGTACTTCTCCGCCTCCTGAACCATCTTCTCTATCTCATCCTTTGAGAGCCTACCCTTGTCATTGGTAATGGTGATCTTGTTCTTCTGTCCAGTGGTTTTGTCCTCAGCAGACACATTGAAGATACCGTTGGCATCAATGTCAAAGCACACTGTGATCTGTGGAACACCCCTGGGTGCTGGGGGAATGCCAGAGAGCTCGAATTTACCAAGCAAGTTGTTGTTTCTGGTCCTTGTTCTCTCACCTTCATACACTTGAATCAGCACACTTCGAAGCAGCGAATTGGAAGCAGATTTCATGCGTCGTGCCAGACTCGAAGCTCCGAGACCAGATCAAAGCATCCATCGGAAGGAAGCTCGTCGCCGTTTATCGGTAATTTTTCGATCACCATAAATCGACAATCGGAGATGAAAAGAGCGTCACAGTGTTCATCAGATTTTACCCTGAAGATGTCGCGAATTACTTGTCGGATTTGTACATAAGGACGCGATTTTTCTCTAACCGTAGAAAAAAAATAGGCGATGCCTGATAGGTAGTTATATATAGGTTTTTCAAAAGTTTGTTTGTATAATAGTCCTCCAACATCTGTGGTATTATATATAAAGCACAGATTTTACAATCCATTTCTCTTATTGCTGGTTTATTGAGAGAGAAATGATTTTATGTACAATTTGAATACGTGATTTGTTATAAAAATCAATTTACTTATCATTATGAATTTCTTTAAATTATATATTTTTTTCTTTTTTAGTATCTAAATTTTTTGTTGAGACCTTCATTAATTTAATTTTTATAATTAAATATATTAATTAGATAAGTATAAATTATAATAGAGTCCTCAAAATACTAATATTGTATCAATCAAATTCTTTTGATAATTTTGACATATTTATAAAAATATTCTTAAATTTTATTGATGCTGACCTTTTCTACACTAGATATACCTTTTTTTAGATGAATGAATTCCACTACCCAAAAAGCAGTAAACTACTAAAACTAAACACAGAACACCATAAGGCCAACACCAAGCCACAAACAAGCCCAGAGCTACTAACAGGGAACCAAGACACTTGCAAACAAAATAGATAAGACCAACACAATGAAAATACCAGCATCAGACCTCTCCCATTATCCTAAACCCCATTCTGAGCAAAGCCTAGAACCCAAGCTCTTTCCAACTGTCGTCCCCATAAGCTTCATACGAACATCCTTTGGGACTTCCATAACCAACACCTCAGCCTCCTTCGAACCACCCCCAAACGCCCTAGAGTTTCTTTCTCTCCAAGCCTAGTATATGTAAGCACTCCAGGCCAATCTGAGTAGAATTGAATTAGGTACCTTCCCCTTGCACCTAGCCAAGACCCAAGTCAGCTCTTGGGTCCAACTCCAAACAGGCCTATTCCACCCACAAAGCAACAAGATCCTTTTCCATACCACACTGGAGTACCCGCAGGTGAAGAAGATATGCTCTCTAGAGTCCACCAAACTAGAGCAAAAATAGCAACTACCGTCTACCCCCATCCCCCAATTCAGAAGACGATCCTTCGTTGACAACCTGCCCAAAATTTTTAACCATACAAGCACTGCAAACCGAGGAACCTGCAATGGAAACCAAACCAACCTCGCCCAAGGGACCATCTCGTGCTTCACTTGGATCACCTTCCAGACCTCTTTGGCCTTCCCAACCCAGCATCATGAACAACATCCACAAATTACGCGGCCTCATCCCTTAGCTTCAGCAATTTCTTCCAGAACCAACTGCAAGCAGAAGTGGGCATAAATTCCATAACTGACCTGCCCTTCAGCACATACTCGTTCGTCCATCTAACCCAAAGAGAGCCATCCTCAACAACCAGAACATGGATGTGATGAATCATACCAGCTTTATTCCATTCAACAAGATCCCGTAGCCCAAGCCCCCCCAGACTTCAACCTGCAAACTTTATCCCGGCTAACACGAGCTCCCCTGGCTGACCCATCTGATCCCTTATTTTTAAATGAATTTGATGTCATAATTCAAATAGTATTTAACTTCAAATTAATTGATAAGATGATAGAATAATTTAATTAATGCAACGTTGATAATCTTATAACTAAATTAAAATATTTTATAAAAATTTATTTAAAATCAAAATTTAAGAATATTATGATGAACAAAAAGCGGAAAGTTATTAATGAAAAAGAAAATCATATAAGGAATTATCATTAGATGTAACAAGGGCCACGTATAAGAATAATAGGTGGCGTTGGATGATTATGTAATGTAAAGGGTAGAAAATCTGATTTTGAGTAGTACATGAATAAAATAGTAACCTAAGAAAAGGGTTACACTATTTGTTAAATCTTTGACTAAGGCTACTTTCTTCTTTAGCTTCAGTATTCCTTATCCAAACCTTTTTCTCTATCTTATTTTTCTTTCTTTTCATTATATAAACTCGTCTATACAGTGTTATATGTATGTTTTTTTCTTACAAATTCTAAATCTAATCCTAATTGACCTCTAGAGGAAGGGAAGGGGAAATTTTGGCGGAAGAAATGGGAGTGTTTTTGTGTGTGGATAATTCATCTTTTATTACCTAAAGAAGCAGAGTCTACTACAAAAAAATACAGATCTCAATACATTATATACATTCTACATACAAAAAACAGAGGTGAGAATTAACTCTATCATCCCTATTGATTTTTTCCCTCTAAGTTTAATACCTACAAGTTCTTTGATGCAAGCAAGGAGCTGTCTTTGGGTCGGGAGCATCTTGTAAAAATTCTTCTATTACGCTTGTTGAAAACATTTTGATACTTCAATATAACAAACTAAGTTTAAATGAATTTTAAGGTGGTGTTTGTTTTTGTAGAGGTAAAAAGTCTGCAGTCTGCGGACCATATCTGCAGGCATCTGCAGCAGAAGATGTGGACCAAAAGTCTGCAATCTGCAAGAAGAAGACTGTTTGTTTTTTAACGTCTGCAGACTGCTAAAATAAACTGAAATATAAATAAACTGATTTTTTAAACTTAAAAGAGTTTTACAATACTGAGATTTAAATAATTTTAGTTTTACAATACTAAAATTTAAATAATTCATTCAACTACAATAATAAATTTTTTAGAAAAACAAACATCACCTTATTAATTCTATTATAAGTCTCACATAATCACATGTATTATTAGTTTTATAAGTTTTATAGAATAAAATTTATAAATTATCATTAAATTATATGATTTTTTTAATATGAAATTATGTAATACTTTTAATTTTTTTAAATATATATTCATAATTTATTTTTATAATTATATGATATTTTTAGAAAATATTTTTTAATTTATCAAATTATTTTATTATTTTTATTTAATTGTAATTATATTTTAAAATTTTAAAAACATAATTTATAATTTTTTATATTTTAAAATCTTAATTATCAAACAATGAAATCATTTTTGATTAAGCAATGTGGTTTAAATACTTACATTTTGTATAAAAAGTTTAAATATAATTTAAAAATAACAAATCCAAAAAAATATTATATTTAAACTTAAATCAAAATAATTAAAATAAATATATAAAATAATTTATATGCTATAAAATTAAATATCTATAATATAATATTAAAAAAATAATATTTAATTTATTTAAAAAATTAATATTAAAATTAATATCTATAATATAATATTAAAAATTAATATTTAATTTATTCAAAAAATTAATATTAAAATTAAAATCAAATATAATATAATATAAAATTAAATATAAAACCTCTTTGAAGAGGTTAGAAGATGTCTGTAGACATAAGACCATGTCTACGCCGCGCAGACGTTAGAAGAGCTTATGTCTTCTAAAAAACAAACGGTCTGCGAAGCTCAATGTTTGCGCGTGGTCTGCGCGGCGTACACATAAGAGCTTTGCAGACCTTACACAGTAAAAACAAACACCACCTAAGATTTTACAAATGATTTTCTAAGAATATTCGATTCAATTAATCGAATATCAAATTATTACTCCAAGTCTTTCAAGATCAATTTCAAGCCTTACTAAATGTGTAAAATTGTGTTTTATACTTAAACTATTTTTTAAACAATTTTCACAAAGTATTTTGAACCAAAATCAAGCCTAAAATCAAAATTTCAAAGTGATGCACCGATGCACCAATCCATGCATCGATGTACCATGGAATTAATTGAACATCGAATGCATTTTATGCATCGATGCACATATCATGCATCGATGCACTCAGTGCATTTGATGCATCGATGCACTCAGGCTTTTTCAAAACATCGAATGCACACTTGGTGCACCGATGCACACTTGGTGCACCGATGTACTAAGTGTTCCAACGGTCAAAATATTTGAATTTTACACTAATACACCGATGCACCCAGGGTATGCATCGATGCACTAACGCTCCCATCCACTTTCATTAATTGTTTTCACACTTAAACGGCTCTATTGACTCCACTAATCATCCCCAACGTTCAGAATCAATTCAAAGTGTATTTAAACAAGATTAGAAGTTATTTATCAATGACAAGAAACAACAATCAACACGAATAAAGAGATAATCAAAGAGAAAGCATCAAACCTCAAGTTTGAGCATTTCAAGCCTATTTTTCATTCAATATTCATTTTACTTTCAAGAACACTACTTGTACTCAATTGTATTCATTTTTGAGTGTTCTTTTCTTTGTTTTAGAATTGTGCAAACAATCTACCTTGTGAGGTTTTCCTTGTAAGTTTGTGAATTTGTGTATTTCTCTTTGAAAAAGAGTGTGCTCAAGAATTGAGGTATAATTCTTGAGGATGTTGTAAGGTTATCTCTTTAACCTCAAAAAAAGAACAAATTAGTGAATTTTTTGGAAAATCCTTAGTGTGGATAGCTAAGGTAGTGGACGTAGACTTTGATTGAGAAAGTCGAACCACTCTAAATCGCTGTACAAATCTTTTCAATTTTCTGCAAAAGTTTCCACCAAAATTTTAATTGCCAATTCACCCCCCTCTTGGCCGATTCCATCAATCGATTAACTCAATAATTGGTATCAGAGCTTGACTCATTTGAAGGTTTAACCACCTCTTGAGTAGATCCAGGAAGAGTTAAATCGATAAAGATGGCGTCCACTTCTTGTTCATTCTCCATGAAAGAATCCAGACCAATTGACGTGCCTTCTTACTTCAATGGAACAAATTATCGTCATTGGAAGAGGTTCATGATGATATTTATCCAATCACATGATATGGAAACTTGGATGATAATCGAGAAAGGATATTCCTCTCCTACGAAGAAGGCAAAGAAGTGGAGTAATCAAGAACGGAAGAATGCTCAACAAA